AAAGTAAAAGATCCAGTGAAAGCGGGTTTCAATCACAGTTCGAGTTCTCACTTCCCAAAATTACAACCCTTTAATGTCTTCATGTTTATTGCCCACATACCCCTTCTCCCCACCGTTCTTTTTCTCACTAACCCTGTGTCACATTCTGATTCTTCCAGGTTTTCGTCTTGGAAATCACTTTTTTTTCCGGCTTTCCTCTTTTCGATCCTCTTTTTTCTCTCCCCCGGTTTTCTTCATCTCTTCTGTTTTCTTTTTCCGCACCCTACGCTTTTTGCCCTCGCTCTCGTTTTTGATTTCAATTACGCACTGATGCACTAGCAGCGCCTGCCACATCAGACTGTATAGAGATCTCATCCTTGCAATATCCCTCAAAGGGAGTTCGGTGTGCCGCCAGCTGAAAGTAGAAAAAATTGCAGAATGAACTGCGGCAGCATAACTATTTTGTTTTATATGCTTGTGATCAGTACGAAATGTGTGATTTTTTTATAATTTATGCAAAGTTCTCCCGTCCGTAAATTTGCATGACATCTTTTGGACCTTTATACGTCTGATTGAATTAATAATCATTGGCGACGCGCACCAGGTCGGCCCGTGCGATCATGCGTTTTTGCAGTATTTCGTGCTGTAATGAGATCGCTCGGAAATCTAATAGCTAGGGATTGTGACGTACTGGTCCTTGAAGTTCGGGAAGTTCGTTTTCTACGCGGTACTTCGACAGGGAACATTCCGTCAGTATTTCAGCTTTCCAACTTCTCTGGTTTTTGAGTTAGCAATTTCTCCGCCAAACAAATTTCATGGGCCAGTACACGAGAACCTCACATGCCTGTGAGCTGAATTTAATATTTTTAACTTTTGCGGGGGGAAGAGGTGGGGGGAGGGGGAGGGGGGATTGGGAACATACCCTTAAAATTTTCGCCCCCAGCTTTCCTATTTCCCAAGTTAGCCATTTTTCCGCCAAAAAATTTTACGGGGCCATAAGTGAGAACCATGCATGCCGGGGAGCTGAATCTGACAAATTTTTGTCATACATGTACTGGAAACATTCCCTGAAAATTTCAGCCTTCCAGCTTTCGCGGTTCTCAAGTTAAGGATTTTTGCGCCAAGAATCCTCACGGGGCCATAGGCGGGTACCACACACACTTGGGGGGTTGAGTTTGAAATCTTTGAGTTCTATGTGGACGGTGAACATAACCTTAAAATTTCAACTTTCTAGCTTTTCTGGTTCCCGAGTTGGCGATTTTCCCGCCAAAACTTTCACCCTGTTGTACTCGGGGCCCATACTTGTGTGAGAGTTGGTGCCGCGTTCCTGGGGCGGCACTTGATCGTGGAATCCACTGAGAAAATTTTGGCGCCGGAGCTTGCTTGGGTGCCGAGTTAAAATAACCGGGCACACACACACACACACACACACGCACACACACGAGAGTCGTCACAATATGCGTTTTTGCATTTGCATATAAGCAAAAACACATAGTGGTAGTCATTTCAGACCATTTTAAAGGGCAAACTTTTTAGGTATATTACTTCAAAAAGGATTTTTTACTATCGGTAATACGTACCAATTAGAACAAAAGATGATTTGACAATCTGACACAAAAAAAATCTCTTTGCGATGCTGTTGAGAACAAAGTGTAAAACAATTATAAACGACGAACAAACTACAGATAATTCTTGCAGCAAAAAAAACTTTGTATAACAACTTTAAAATCAGCCATCAAAATAGGATTTGGGTTCAGGTCAGCACTGAAACCACTGCACTGTGTAGCGCTCAATCTTTTAGGAATAAACTACCAGTCAAAATTTCATGAGAAATTTTAAATTGGTTCAAAATAAGACATGCAAGATGTGCACCTCGACATTTTAACAGCTTCTTAAACTAAACCTACACAATGTATCAACTTAAAGAAACAAACACAACTATAGCCGCAACCCAGCTTATGCTTTGTGGTTTACTTCTTTCCGGTTGCATAGCTTCCAGCACCGCCAGCCACACCGACGCTTGGTGCGGAATAGCCGCCACCTCCTGTCGAATACCCTCCGCCACCTATCGAATTAACTGCAGGCTGTGCATATCCACCGCCTCCACCACCGCCAACACTTGGCACTGCATAAGCTCCGCCACCACCGCCGCCGCCACCCAAACCACCACCACCGCAACCACAGGGTGGGGGCGGCGGGCACGCTCTGAAAATCACCTTTTGGAAGTAAATGACTTGGTTTTTTGAAATTCTGTTGTCATAATTAACACTTTTTGCAAAAAAGAAAAAAAAAACGCTCTATATTTCCCAGCTGGTTTTAAAAGTGGCTACTGTAGATATGTAGCGAATATCACATCTAAAAATCAAAAATAATTGGTCAACGCACAGGCTGCTCGTGCGAAGACGCGTTTTTTGCATAACTCCTCGCAGATTTTTGTCGCTAGCAGCACTGTTTTTTCCGGCAGATGCTTCCAGCTAGAAGAATTTCATACTGGCTGTGAGGACTGTCAGGAAGCATCCCTTCAAAATTCCAGTCTTCTAGCTCCTCAGGTTCCCGAGTTATCAACTTACTGGAAAAGATTTCACGGCCCCTTACGTGGGTACCACGCATATCCGGAGGCTGGGTTTGAGCTCATTAATACCCATTTGGATAGGGAACATCTTTTTAAAATTGCAGCCTTCCAACTTTTCAGTTTCATGAGTTAGCAACTCACCCGAAAAAAATTTTGGCGGGCCCGTACGTGGCTACCACGCATATCCGGAGTCTGGGTTTGAAAACAATGAGACTTAGGTGGACGAGAAATATCCTCTTAAAACTACAGTCTTCTAACTTCTCAAATTCTCGAGTTAGCGACTTACCCGAAAAAAAGCTTTGGTGGGCCTGTACGTGGGTACCACGCATACCCGAAGGCTGGGATTAAACTAATTGAGACTTATATGGACGTGGAACATCCCTTAAAATTTCAGCTTTCTGGCTTTTCTGGTTCGCAAGTTAGCGATTTACACGCAAAAAATTTTCATGGACCCGTACGTGTGTACCACGCGGGTAAAACCGCCTATTTTGGGATTGGCGCCCCTACGTGCATGTTGATTAAGTTTCCAAAGTTTCAGCTCTGTAGCTTTTGTAGGTCTCGAGATGAAAAATCGATGCAGAGGCTCAACGCACACGCAGACACATATACACAGACAGACACACTCACAAAGACAG